GCATAGAGGGGCTGGTAGGAGGCATGGAGGGACTAGTAGGTGGCATGGAGGGGCTGGTTGGATGCATGATGGGCTAGTTGGAGCCATGGTGGTCTGGTAGGAGGCAGGGTGGGCTCGTAGGAGCCATGTTGGGCTGGTAGGAGGAATGGAAGGCTGGTAGGAGGCATGATGTACTGGTAGCAGCCATGGTGGGCTGGGAGGAGGCATGTAGGGTACTAGTAGGAGCCATTGTGGGCTAGTAGGAGGCATGATGTACTGGTAGAAACCATGGTAGGCAGGTACGAGGCATTGTGGTCTGGTAGGAGGTATGGAGGGGCTGGTAGGAGCCATGGTGGGCTGGTAGGAGGCGTGATGGGCTAGTAGGAGGCATGATGGGCTGGTAGGAGCCATGGAGGGCTGGTAAGAGGCATTGTGGGGCTAGTAGGAACCATGGTGTGTTGGTAGGAGGCTTGGAGGGGCTGGTAGGAGCCATGGTGGGCAGGTAGGAGGCATGGAGGGGCTGGTAGGAGCCATTGTGGGCTGGTAGGAGGTATTCAGGGGCTGGTATAGGGGTCATATTTTGCCCAAAGCACCCTGCAGTTTTCAAAATATCTGAAAAGTCGGAAATTTGACTCCTGAGTGTGATTTTTGATCCGCATTCTGACTCTCTGCACCTATTTTCATTTTCAAATTCAAAGTTCAAAGAGTTTGCAGACAACTTGTGAGGGCAAGAGGGCGGAAGTCCTTGGGGGATGTCCCAAAAGACCCTAGTTTCCGAACAGGGAGGACAACGGCATTGAGCCAGCTCTCAGGGACTGACGACGACTCTCAGACCTGATTATACACTCTGTAAATACAGTTCCGAGACGTGCACTGAGGGAGAAGGCGAAGCATCTTGTAATGAATGCCATCGGAGCTCGCTGCGATAGAACCGCAGCGAGCCAGGGAAGACTGGAGTACAGAGAGAGAGAGAGAGAGAGAGAGAGAGAGAGAGAGAGATCGTTATAGAAAAGTCTGAGATGGGTGCAGAAATCTACAGGACGAGATTCAATAACAGGTTTACGAAGAAGGAAAGATTAAGGAATATGAGAACCAGAGCTAACAGAAGAAAAGTGGGAACCCAGTTCGGTTGCGACCTGTAACATGTCTGCCACAAGAGTGCCATGGAGGTGAAGGACCGGCGAGACATTAGGAACGAACTTCCCCGCTATCTTGTGGATACACTTCCAGATCTGCAGCAGAGGAGTTTCGGACGTAATGGTGCACACAAGACTTCCAACACTCACGCTTAGCTGTACGGATGGCCCTACTGGCCACCACACGCGCCTTCTGAATCAAAACAAAAGAATCAGCCGTTTGCCGGTAGTGGTGTCTCTTCCAGGCTGCACACTTACAGTAGACAGCCAGAGCACAGTCCACATTCCACCAGGGCACGCACTTCCGTGGTCCCCGAGAGGAAGAGCAAGGAATAGAGCGAAAGGCAGCGTCAAAGATGGTATCATGATAAAGGAGGAGGGCGCGAGGGAGAGGCAGAATGGAGAGATCGGAGAGAGCAGCACAAAGGGTAAATAGGTTCCAGTCTGCCTTGGTAAACTGCCACCTAGGGAAGGATAGGGGAGGGCAAAAAGAGAAAAAGGTAACAAGGATGGGGAAATGGTCACTGCCATGGAGATCAAGGACCTGCCACATGAAATCCAAATAGAGAGACGACAAGCAGAGAGAAAGATCAAGACAGAAAAGGGTGCGAGTCCGAGAATCCAAATGAGTGGGCTCGCCAAAAGTCAGAAGAGACAGGGAAGAGGAGAGGAACGGTTCGAGAAGGCGACCCCGGGTGTTTGTCAGAACATCACCCCAGAGGGTATGACGACAATTGAAATCGCCCAGCAGGATCACAGGCTTTGGCAATGAGTCCAGTGGGTGTTGAAGATCGGGAAGAGAAAGCGGGACATTTGGGGGGAGATAAATGAAACAAACTGCGTACCATTTACGCACAAAGACACGCGCAGCAGAACAGTGGAGAGGCAACGGAAAAAGTAGGGGGCACGAAGGGAACATCAGAACAAATCAAGAGAGCAGAAGAGAAAGGGGCCCCAGCAAAAGCCAGGGGATGGGAGGGAGGAAGGAATAGCCACGGAAGCGACCAGGACGAGCACCAAGCATTGGCTCCTGAAAACAGACACGGGCAAAAACTGAAATCAGAAGTGGGAGTTCATGGAAATTGGCGTAATATCCACAAATATTCCATTGAAGAATAGATATCGACAAGAAGAAAAAGGACAGCAACAGAGAACAATGAAGAAACGAAGGTGAAAATGGAACACAGCCCATTAAAGAAGCGCATGTCCGGAATCAGGGTCAGTGAAGTCAGGGTTAAACTGAGTAAGGATTGAGGGAATGGAGTGGGAGGACTGACTGGAGACGGACGAGAAGGGCCTGGTGGAGAAGGAGACAACCAAGGGTCAAGGACAGCAGCAGGAGGGGCAAAAAGCAGGGAGCGCACCTCAGCAAGGGCAGCAACAGAAAGGGAAGCGGGGGCAAAAGAAACCTCCATAGCAGGAACGGGGCGCGACCACCGAAACGGGAGGGGATGGAGCAAGGGTGACCACCGAAACGAGAGGGGATGGAGCAAGGGTGTCAGAGTTAGGGGGCGAGGAAGAAAGCGAAGCCTTCTTACCAGGTGGGGAGGAGAAAGGAGACGTGCCAGCTTTCGCTGCCGACTCAAAGAGACAGGTGTCCCAGCAGCAACGTACCAAGCAAGAGATTCAAGCGACTCAACAGGAGAAGAACGAGAGCAAACAACACGATGACCACTGGGAGAGTAATGGACATCAGCCCGCACAGACAGGCAGCATGGAGAGCTATGAGCCGGAGAAGAAGGATTGGAAGGAGGATCGGAGGTAGACGAGGAAGAACACAGGAGACATGACAGACTGGTAGAAAGGAGGAGAACCCCAGACAGAGAACCATGAGGGGGGACACTTCGGGACAGAACTTAAAGGAACAGAGGTGGCGGCGGTGGGCGTGTCTGGATCTAAGGCATGGAAATGGTTGAGTGACTGAGGAAGGTGGGAAGGACGACGAGAGGAAGAGTGCAACACACGAGCATAAGAGACGCCAGCGAAAGGGTGGAGACGGCGAACTTGGCGCCTCGCCTCAGGAAAAAGACAAACGTTCCTGGTGCTTCAAGGTGAGGACGGCTGCCTCAAGTTTGTACAATAATGTATACACGCGTGGGAGAAGGCGGGCTTCACTGCAATTAAGGCAGCGAGCTCGGGAAGAAGTGCGCTCCGACTTGGTGACCTTTGTCCCCACACGTGGGACAGAGAGAGAGTGTACTGGAGCATCGAAGGGCACCATGCCCAAACCTCCAGCACTTATTACAGAGCCGAGGAGATGGAATGTACTCCTGGACGGAGCACGTAGCACCAGCAAGAATGACAGAGGGCAAAAGGATCCTACCATCAAAGGTAATCTTCACAACCCGAAGAGGCTGATGGCGACGACCACGAGGGGGACGAGTAAACGTGTCCACCTACAGGAAAGAATGGCCCTGGGCTTCGAGGATATGCTGAATATCTTCGTGGCAATCCTGTACATTCCTAACACTAATTGCAACATGGGGTAGGAGGAGAACAGTGCCAACACTGGCCTTCAGCCGAGCGTTCTTGGAGACCCGAACAGGGGTCTCGCCAAGGCAGGATAAGGCAGCCAAGCGGGTGGCTGCATCCTGAAAAGGAGCAGCAACGACACGTATACCGAGACAGGTGGGGTTGAAAGTAACAGAGGCATCTACCGAATCAACAAGGGGCCTATGGAGGGAGAAATCGTCAGGTGTAGAATCCAGAGGGAGGAGATCAAAGTATTTGGCCCACGAAGCGGGACCAAACAAAGCTTGGTACGCATTAGTACGGGAAGGAATTGTGCGAGTACAGCCGTGGCGTGGACGGCTTTGAGATCCCCCAGAGAGAGGGGGTTAAAAGGCGCAGTAGTCACAATGAGAGACCGAGCCGTGCCAGGGGACGTGGTAGTCACCACTGGGGGCTTGTAGCCCGACCCAACCTCAGAGGGAGTGAGGGAGGGGAGCCGAGGTGAGTCAGACTCGGGGTCTTGGTTGCCCACCCCACGAACCTGAGAGGGTACAAGAGAAACAGAATTTAACAAATACGAGAGGAAAGACTTTCATTCACGAATGTGCCCCCACACCCACCACGGAGCCACAATTAGAGGATACCCAACAAGAGACATGTTGCCAGTCTTGCCGGGGCCACTTAGGGGTGTGTCATGAGTGTACAAAATGAGGATTGACAATAAAAAGAGTCCCCTCACTCGAGACGTTGGGTACCACAGTTCTATGGGTGAGAGAGAGTATGCCTCCTCAAACACCCGGGCGTCAAAACAGAAGAAGGCCAAAAGAATAATCCAAACAGGCAAAAGGTTGGCGGGGAAATGACAATGAGAAAGGAGAAGAGGGGGGAACTAAACATAAGGAAAAGTTATCTGGCACAATTCGCGAAGACAGCAGCAGGAGGCTACAATAGGACAGAGGACTGTCCCATGGAGCATCACACTCCCGCAGCCACCCACCAAGCCCCCTCACGGCAACAACGGGCCGGAAAGGGAGGGGGTGCAAAGACAAATGTTTAAAGAAAAGCCATTTCAGAACAAGAGGGGTAAAAGCCTTTATCACATGAGTGATAAAACCTCAAGCTGGACCCCATCCTTTTTCTGTAAGGATGTCTCACTTGGAAGATTCTCTCTGTTCACATTTGCAATATCTGCTAGTGTCATTTCGTCCTTCCGCCCATGGTGGGTCCCACACGGTAACAGTCCATAACCCTCTCTCCTCTATGTTATGAAATGCTTTTTCCTTATACATTTTCCTTCATACTTGCACTTCATTCCCATATTCACAGATGGTACAAGTTTACAAATGGTGTGTTGGTCTTTCCTTACCAAACCTATGTATAGGTCCATTACAGCAGCAATGATGATAATTATTATAAATCAATCATACAATCATATTATAAACCCAATCAACGTTTATTACAAACTTTTGTAACAATAAAATTACATAAAAGAATGAATTGGTATTAATCATATCTACAAAGTTATCATTGGCACTGATCATACATATTGGCTCAAGACTATTCAACATTGCTCTAAATCTGCTGCTTCATCATTATTATTATTTATTATTATTATTATTATTATTATTATTATTATTATTATTAATTATTTTGTATCAATATACTTCAGACTGAATTCTTAAGACACTTGACATTACTGGATTGTGATAACAGCAGGATACTTCCATCTTTACACACGCTGTCCTACCCGATTTTTAGTAAACATTATTACCTTCCGATCTGACATCAATGTAAAGGTTATGTACCAAGTAACATTAATTCAATACACAATTATTATGTGACGCACAATCCTGAACTTTCCCATTATGTAAGCGTTTAGCAACATTTTAATGGCTCATGTGTCAACAATTAAAATTTGATATTGGGTAAAGTATCATTAAGCAATTAAAGATATTTTAATACAAAAAACATTGAATTTGGTTTCACAATGATTCTTTGTTAAAGCTATTTATGGAAAGTTTAATAGTTATTCTCACGGCAAACTTTGTAATCAAAATTCCGTGCTACATGAAATGTGCTGAACTCCCAATAATTTGAAATAATAACACCGAAACCTAAACTATGAGATTAGAGGAAAAGTTGTATTTTAATATTCAAGATCTCTTAAGGTGCAACATAAAACTATAATAATCATTATTACACAATGAAAAAGCGAACAAATTTAAGTACTCTATGTGCATATGGTTGATGCTTGCCATGGAAGTTTAGAAATTCTAAATTTCATATAATATATAAACATTTGTATACAATGAATACAACCTAATTAAGTACCAAGATAAACTTAAAACATATTACAAAGAGGTACATAATAAGATTTTTCAGGTTTCCAGCGCTACACACAATTATCTTCCACCTCTTTCAAGATGTCCAATATTTGCTTTTGTTTCCTACTTCAATGCCAATTCAAATATATTCTATATTCAACACTAATAACAAATCAAAATATACATAAAATTAATTTGACTTTTAAAGTGGGACAAATTTTCATGGTTTTACACCAATTTGCTCATCCTTCCATACTGGTTTTTATAATTTAAACAAAATCATTCTTTCCTTTTGAGGCCACCACAAATTCATTACACTGTCTTTTTCTGGTGATGTCATGCCACTGATTTAGTTCACACTTCACACAAACCAAATTATCAGGGTGGTTCTCCTGTGGAAAGTAAAAGTGCCAAGAGTGGAACAAACCATACAATATAATGCCCGCATCCCGACTCGCAAAGTCGCCCACAAATTTCAGTAGCTTATTATCTACTGAAGTATAGCTCACATGATGCCGATACTGGTCCACTTCACACCCAACTCTGCACATCTCTTGCTTGGCACTTGTTAACCTTCCTCTGAGGAAAATTAAAATTAAAAATTTTCTAATTACAAACATTTTGTTAACCAATATTTACCTGTATTATCATCAGTAATTATAATTCATTACCTCAAACAGATTTTAACTACAGTATTACCATACCAACCCCTGGCTTAATTAACAAGGACAAACAGTAATATATATTACTGTTCTCAAATCCCCAACAATCTGACATTGAACTAACAATATTTACTGTATGTATTTCATATACAACTAAGCAGCCCAAATATGAAAATGCCAAAACCTATTAAAACATTACCACCTATAGTTCCTATAGGTGGTGGTGGATAGGAACCCAAATAGTTCACCTGTTTAGGTACCTACATGTTCATAATGGCAATAATATCACTTTCCCCACTCTTGGCGCGAGCACCCTAACTCACGCCTAACTGAACCTGACAGTTCCTGCGAGTGGTCCCAGGAGCGCCCAACCACACTAACATATGTACTCTTTCCAGTGTTCTGACTAATTTCTGAGCTATGTCATTCATTTTGGTATCAAATTGTTCGCAATCTAAAGGCACGCATTTTAAATCTAGTCCCATAATAATCGAACAATAAACGGAATTTTAACAAATATTTTAATTCCAGACACAAACTGCGTCACCGTCGGAAATCCGCAAGATTATTATTGTGACGCAGACTGCGGCGCCGCCAGGCAAAAGTGTTAACATTTATAAACATAGAACAGAAATAAACATTACCGACTTGTTCAACCTGTTGTTGATTCCGAGGATCAATGTCCCCACAGCCCAGTCTCTAACCAGGCTTCCTGGTTGTTGGTCTCATCACTCAGGCTGCTCAGTGCAGCTGCTCACAGCTTGATGTGCAAGTCACAGCTTGGTTGATCAGGCATTCTTTGAAGGTGCCTGGCAAGTTCTCTCTAACACTGCAAAACGTTGGCCAGTTATGCCCCTTATCTGTGCGAGGCAAGTGTTGAAAGGTCTTGGGGCCCCTTTAATGTTAATCATGTTCTCCCTCAATATGCCTATTGCACCTCTCCTTTCCTGTGGGGCTATTTTTCACATCCTACAATGCCTTCTGGTCTCGTGTGGTGTTATTTCTGTATGCAGATTTGGAACCAGTCCTCCTAATTTTTCCCAAGTGTAAATTATTATGCATCTCCCGCCTGCACTCTAGGGAATACAGATTTAAATTTTTTAGCCAGTCTCCAATAAGTTTTATGGAGTCTATTCTAGCAGTAAAAGAGCTTTACATGCTCATAAGGTCAGCAATGTCTCCACCTTTAAATGGGGCTCTCTCTGCAACATTATTCCACACTAGAAAACAGCAATGTCTTAAAAAGTGCCATTTTCATCGCATCTCATTTGGAAGGTTCTTGTTATACAGCCTGTCACTTTTCTTGCAGTTTACACAAAATTTGTTCTGTTCTTTAAAAGTTAAGTCTTTGGATAATTATTCCTAAATCTTTTAAATTGCTTTTCTTACAATAGTGTGGCTTGAATTTTATACATGTTTTTATACATGCTATTTTTGTTTTTTCCATGGGGCAGTAATTAGAACTTATACTCATTAAACATGTTATTTTGTGTGGCCCATTGAAAAACTTCATTAATATTAGATTGGAGGGTTGCTGTGTCCTCTATATTGTATACTCATGAAAATTCTAGTGTTATCTGCATTGGATGATACACTACCACATTTTTGTATTCTTGTCTATCGATATGAGGTAATATGAATTTTATATCCACATTACCATCACCGGTATAAAATCCAGACAATAATACTTTAAAATCAACACATGATAACCACATTACCCAGTGAATGAAAGTGCAGTTATCGTTGTGTGTTGAGGGTTTAATGAAAAATTTAATCTACAATCCAGGCAGCATAAAAGTGATGTACAGTACATTTTAGATAATTGGCACTTCCAATCAATACTATATCTACAGTATTTTTCTTTAGATCACCTTGTTTTAGGCAATATAAAAAATTAACACTAAACTACTTTAACACGCTTTAACTGAAAGAAATACCTTGAGTGTCATATACACAATCCACATCCCTAGCTCCATTACAATGAAAATAACAAGATATTTGCAAGCCCCATGGCGTAGTGGTAAAACACTCACTCGGCGCTTCGCAAGCGCTTTCACCTGGGTTTGTATCCTGGCTGGGGAAGATTTACTTTGAGCCAATCCTTAACTGTAGCCTCTGTTCACCAGGCAGAGGACAGTGGTACCTGGTGGTTAAATGATTCGGCAGGTCGCATTCCAGGGAAAATTAGGATTAAGGACTTGCGTGAAACACTATGCGTGCCAGTGGCTGTACAAGAATGTAAGAACTTTTGTATTTATATATAAATAAAAAAAAAAAAACATTGCAACAACAACAAAAACCAAAGCTTACCAAATTCTGGAGAACAACCCGATATGCCTCAGCTAACAAACACTTTTGTTTCTGTTACTCTGGACTGTACAGGATCACCTGTTATTAGTTCATCCATACCATTCTGAAAACAAAACAAAATGTTAATATAGAGTACCGTACCGTACTGCAATTACTCTCAAACCTTTTCTACATATATATCTGACTTTCCCAGACTCCTCGTGCCCAGTGAGGAACACTCATTTTTTGTGTAAAGGAGGAGTCAACCTTTCTTGTATCACTTTACCTTTAAACATTGGGCACAAACCCCACCACCCCTTGAAAAAAAGATTAACTTAACATTAATAAACACACAAGCATGGTTAATTCAATCACATATCACAAAAATTTCTATCTTTAGTTGTATGAACAACACCTATTGCACTTTGAGAAAAACATATGGGAAGTCAGTACACATAAGATCATTTCTAAATCTAAACTAAGAAGCCTTTCAAGTTTATACACACTGCCTATGCAAGACCATTACTCAGCTGTGCAGCTCCAGCATGGCACCCACACCTTGTGAAACAAACACAAACTTGAGAAAATTCAGAGGTTTGCAACTATAGTAATACCAAAATTGAGAGGCCTCAATTCTTCTTTTGTATGTATCCATTTCAAACCCTTTAGAACCATAATAATCATTATCAACCACAATAGGAACTTGAAAAAACATTGGTGCTGTAGGTCAGTTTTTTCCAAGAATCCCTAAGGGTTTAACTTTGTACATCTTCCTAATCCTTACCCAACATCTATGTGATTGATCTTATTCCATTTCAATAAATTCCACAATCCTCACCATCTTCACAGATACTGCATCCATAATATTACTTTTAGTTGTTTTCAAAGTTATTAATTAAGCCTTGATCAACTAGTTGGATCAAAAAATTTGCATTCGGAAGAGGGCAGCTGGCAGTGATATTTCCACTTCCTAATTGGTAAAGATATGCATTGGTTGGCAAGTAATTTAAAATTCATGCATTTGCCATTTTCTGGAAACCTACTATTTTCCAAGTGAGCTTTCACACAAAGCACACAAAAAATTAACCAGTCTTGGAAGATCACTTGCTCATCAACAAATAGTTGGAGCCTATATATAACAGGTAAAGGTTTAACTTCGTTGAATGAACAAAGTGCTTTTGATTTTTTTCCAAATACCAGTTGCTTGTACTAGTACATTCCTCCAGCATTAGTACATAACAGAACAGATAATCTTTCTTTACTTTGTTGTAAGTAGTAGAATCAGTTTTGTCATTGAACCAGAGCATGTCTGGATACAACCCACAATCTTGTTCCAATTTCACTGGCACTGTAAATTTGTTCTGGAGATGAAGGTTCTAATGACCTCTAGAAAGATGTCTTCATACACTAGCAAAGCAGCGGTGTTAGCAGACTGCCTCTCCCCTACCACCTGATCTGGTATACAAGCATGATACAGTTATGTACATTTTCCCAAAGAAAAACCTGTTCCCCCACAAGAAACTCTTCTGACACCAATTATGGCTTATATCTTATCTGTGCCACCATGCACAAATTGCAACATCAGCACTTCACTTCAGGTTGGCTTAGTATTTTCGTTCAGCCAAGCTCTTCTACTCGCCCCATTTTTTATAATTCACTACCTCAAAATCATTCCTCAATTCTTCATCATTCGGTTGTCCTTGTTTTGCCATACACAGCTCAAATGAATAACTTGGGGATGCTGCTCTCACACTTCTGATTTTATCTTATTTTTTCACAATGTGTAGTACAAAATGTTTCCACTTTGACATACCACTCACTGAAGGCAGACATTCCCTGTGTTCTCAAAACACTGTAGATAGGAGTTGACAAGATTAAACAAAAAACACAAGGCACTGATGGGAGTTAATGTACAAATGCCACTACAAAGAAATAAAAATATACACCAAGTTACTCCATGTCCTCTTATATTCTCTCCCAACACAGATGCCTATTTTTGACCTCTACAGCAACTACAGGCCTACATCTCTTTACATGTCATGCATTGTAGCCAAACACAGGAATTACCCATTTCCAAAAGGGTGCAAATCATGATTTGTGAAATGTACGTTTGCCAGTTTTAAGTGCTATGGCTTGGGGAACTTTTTCTTCCATTGCCAACTGATGGTAGCATATACAGAGTCCAGATGCTAGTTTCGAAGGCCAGAGGACATAGTTGAACATCACATTGTGAAACTTTTCTAGGTACCTATAATGAAGTCAACTATAGCAGGAACTGCCCAATTTACTTTCGGTAACTGATATTAACTTTATAAGCAAGCGTGTTAAGCACAGAAAGTTGCATAGCACAGTTGTGTGTACTAATTCTGAATCAAAATACAGTAGTATCAATCTGTTAGAGGAACCTGACAATTTATTACAACCTGAAGACACCATCAGCCAAAAACAAAGCATACCATATCAATACCTATAAATACATGCTTAACAACCAACTTGAATCATTCTACAGCATTAACCCTTTAACTGCACCGCCTCTAAATATAACACCACCCCCCCCCCCCAGTGCGCAGGAAATAAATTCTCTTGAAAAAATTCTTTTGTTTTTTTAAAGTGTCAAAAACCCTTCCCTCAGTATGGGTATGTCAAAAAAATTTTGAACTTGTACTTTGGCTGCTATGGGGGTCCGTAAGTTGGCGCGTGAAGCCATCATTCCCCGTTCGCCCGTGACGTATGCTCCCGGGGCGGGGCGCGCGAGTTGCCACAAATATATTTTTGTTCATTTTTTGTGCACAGTTCCAAATACATTTTATTTGTTTTTACGAGCTAATCCTTTGTATAATGAAGACGTACTCTATATTATGGCAGTAAAACATCCGTACTGTCCGAGGACACTGTTACGTGCATGACACGTGTGTACACATATGTTGCACATATTTACCATGTATCATGCTAATTTATGTATATATACAATCTATTTACAGAATATACACTGTCACACACGATATACATTCACCATCAACACACTCAGAACACCGCGAGTGTGAGCAGCCACACCCAGCCAGCCCTCCCTCACTCCATCTTACTCGCCAACATTCCTCCTCCCACCATACTGTTATTGTTTTTATTACATTATTTACACATGTTATATATACCTATCTACATGTTTTATTTACCAGAACTATGCAAGTAAGTCAGTATTGTGTCCAAACAGTAGTGGCCACCATACACTGCATGAGAAATCACACAGCAGATGACGCTATGATTACGACGTCGCCTCCCTCACCAAAATAGCTCCTCTCGACATACTCCTGATGCTGTTATTACACTATACACACACACTGTATATACCCATGTACATGTGTGTTCCCCATAGTTCGTTCCACAAAGCTAGTATGATGAGCAAAACAAGAGTGACTGCCACACAATGAGGCTCCCTCAATTCTCTCCCTTCCTCACCAAAATTCCTCCTTCCGCAATACTATGCACAATGCTAATTATAACCACAATCCTGGTCACTAATTCCTGTAAATGAATAATTGACCACAAGTTTATTTTGAAAAGGAACCTAAAAAGTCGTTTAAAGATTCCTAGATGGACGAAATAATGCTGTGGTGCTGTGGCTAGCGCTGTGAGCATCGTAAACCAACCCGTCCTCTTAAAAAGAACGTCACTTTTGGCTAGTATGCGCGATATGGCTAAATTTGGACGTAATTTGAAATGAAATCGACTCACAAAAGTGACGTTCTGTTCCGTTTTCTATTTGAGTCGGCCGGCTTAGGCGCAGAGGTTATAAGAGGACACTTTAAATTAACGTTTTTCATAACGTTTTGAAACTTTATGAGAATTTCCTGCCCACCTAACCTATCAGAGGACCCTTAACTTACTGTTGTTGAAAAAAGAAATCCCAAATTTATTTTAATTTTTTTTTCATTTTCCAATTACGTCCAAATTCGGCCATACGGGCAAACGGCCAAAAGCGACGTTCTTTTTAAGAGGACAGGTTGCGTAAACAGCATTGAATCACTGATATTTGAACATTGTACCCAGTCATTATCACACTCAGGCTCTTCTATAATACTATCATGGCTAAATAACACAGATTATATATATACTGTATTCTGACATTAGGCAATGCTGTGGTCACACACTGAACAGCAGTGCTGTGCGCTCATACTGCGAGTGCCAGCCTTGGTTGCTCACTCACTACTGAGGCTCCCACGCCCGGGAATGTGGACCACGATTTTTTTTAAAAATGACGTCTGTTTACAAGAGCCCTGAGGAACCTGATGTTAACCCCATGTAGCCGCGAGAGTTTTGAATAGAACGTGAAAAATACAAATACCCGGAGGCACGTAGTGCACCCCAGACGTGGGCCTGCAGGCGCATTGCGCAGTTAAAGGGTTAATGAATGATAGTCAAACCAAATGAAAAAAAATAATTCTGAAAATAATTGCTCACCTGTAGGCCAAGTCCTCCTAAGTTGTCCATCATATCTTCTCTGCAAAAGGAAAACTACATCAGCAACAAACAAACATGCATAATTACTTGCTCATGTAAGTCTTAATTCAAGAAAACTTCAATGTTGAGCATATTAATATTAATTCCATTGCAAGAACCAAATTTAAGGTTTATACTGTACTACATATAACTGTCAATAATGGCATTAAAAGTTAAATTTAAACATTTATACTAACAAAGTTAAATATTGAAAACCATCTAGCATTAATGGTAAAACTATTTGCCAAAATAAAAAATGCATTAATACATCAGAATAAAGCAAAATACTGTACTTCTTGAATCATTATGACAATGTAAAACTATCATTTTGATAAATAACTACAGTAAGGCTATGTTTTCCTTTGTGCATGATGGCACAGTACAGTACTAAAAGTATTAATGCATTAAGATACAATACATCTTGTGATAAAGAACACCAGGTGTAATACCATTTATTACACACCATCGCAAGTAGGTAGGGCTCATTACCCACCATGAAACACATCCTTATTCATCACTATTTATAAATATGAAATGTATATCATTTCAGCTACAACAGTAAGGTGTCCCATGAACACCCTAGTGAAAATACACAGGGCCTAAGGGGGTTAAAAGAAAAGGGGGGAACACAAAAAAAACAGACCAGTATCCCCTTTGCCTCAAAGTTAGTCTAACCAGTATACACTACTCGACAACTCACCTCGAGTGGTTTCTGTCTGAGAAGTTATTATTGCAGTTGTTATTGGTGCTGTAAAAAGGAAAAAATCCACTTGTGGAAGTGATGTCTACAATTTAAACAATTTTTTGTATATTGAAATTTTTGGTCTATTTTTATAACAATAATATGAAAATGATGCCATAAACCATCTTTATTGTTCTAACAAGAATATATGATTTGCATATAACACCCCCCTCCACACACACAAATTTATACTATGGATGTGTGTGTGTTACTAGAAAACTTAATGCAAATTGAACTAAAGTCTATTTTGGAAATATATGTGCAAGCTCTGCTGACCGAGTTATTTTCCACTCCCAATAATAATGTCAAATAATTTAAAATAATTTAAAATAATTAAAATATAATTTTTATTTAAAAAAATAAAAACACAAGGGGCCTCACAGCTGAGTGGACAGCACTCTGAGGTCGTTGTCCTAAGGGCCCAAGTTGAATCCCCAGCAGAGGCAGAAACAAGTGGGCAGAGTTTTTCACCCTGGTGCCCCTTTTCACCTAACACTAAATACCTGGGAGTTAGACAGATGCTACAGGCGGTTTCCTGGGATGTGTGCGCGCGAGCACGCAGGAGTAATTTATGTGGTAGACATAAGAGGAAAAATATATTGGTTAGAAAGGCAGAGTCCAAGAGTTAATAGCTCGATTCTGCAGATACAAATAGTAAATACACAGACATATGCGCAAGCTGTAAAAGAGAGAGATGATCAAGGAAGCGTGTTTGGAAGTCAAACCAAAAATGACCAAAAAGAAGCAGAAGTTAGACACACAATTAGGAAAGAACTGGTTACCAACAGTAAATTAGTACAAAACACTGCAGATAGAAGCAAGTCCATAATAATTTTTGGGTGTTTAGAAAAGGAAATACCATCTAGGGTGGACAGAGCAGCAGAAACATGAGAGAGAAGTGTTACTAGCAGAATACCACAGGGTTCAGTTCTTGCACCAGTAATGTTCATCGTCTACATAAACAATCTATCGGAAGGAATACAGCATTATATGAGCATGTGTGCAGATAATGCCAAGATACTGGGGAAGATAGGAGATGCAGATGATTGTAATGCCCTTCAAATTTATCTAGATAAAATAAGTGCTTGGAGCATCAAGTGGCAAATTAAATTCAATGTGAATAAAATGCCATATTATGGAATGTGGAATCAAAGAAAAAAGACCACATACAACTTGAAAATTATGTTAAGGAATTACAGAACTAATAAAGAACGAGACCTAGGGGTGGTTTTGGATAGTAAACTGGTGCCAGAGAAACACAAAGAACATTGTGAGAGGAGCATATGCGTCACTTTCCAACTTTAACTTCCTTTCAATTATTTGGATGGTGAAATACTACAGAAACTGTTCATGACTATTGCGAGTCCAAAATTTGAATATGCAGCAGTTGTATGGTGCCCAAATCTCGAGAAGCACATACATAAACTGGAAGTGTGCAATGGCATGCTACAAAATGGATTCTGGAACTGGAAAAACAGTTGTGAGGAGAGACTAGAGGCGTTAAACATGCCATAACTAGAAGATTGAAGAAAGGCAATATGATCACCACTAACAAAACTAACAGGAATAGACCAAATTCACAAAGAGAATTCCTGAAACCATCAACTTCGTGAAGAAGACACAGATTCAAGCTAAGAAAACAAGAGGTGCAAAAAAAAAAAAAAAAAAAAAAAAATATATATATATATTTTCTAATATTTAAACAATTTAGGCAGAAATGTTTGCAAATTTGGAGATGCGCACATATGGAGGGAAATAAATTAAGATTAAATTGCTTCAAGACAATTTAAAATGGATGAAATATTGGCAGATGTAGTCAAGTGCTGAGCCTAGGTAATAATAAGTGTGTTACTGGATATTGGCTGGACAGTGTTGTAATCTCAAAATCAGAATGTGAAAGGTTTGTTTTGAGAGTTATGATTAGCAGGATCTAAAGCCTAAAAGTCAATGTATAAATGATGGAATAAGGCAAATAAAACACTTTCACATTATCTTGCACTTATTAAGGCTAATTTAGATTATGCAGTTTAGTTTTGGTCACTGTACTATACAATGGACATTAATCCACTTTAACACACAAATAGAAGGATGACAAAGTTAATCCCAGGAATTTAAAAGCTTTCCTTGTTAAAAACCATTAACATTCTCTAAAAAGATGAAGACTAAGGGGTGGCACGATGGACCTATATAAATGGATGAAAGCCAACAGTAAGGATAACAAGGGAATGATAAATAAAGGTTTAAAAATAAAGAAAATATAATAGTAGCTGCCTCATGTGGGCCAATAGTCCAAGACCAAATTTGTCACCTTATAATAACCTCCTGTCCTCGTTTTTACCGTGTCCTTTTATTTAAAAATTAGCCTAAACCTTAGATAAGTAATTTTAATACAATCAGTTCTGCCATGTGTAAACTGTATTCAAAAGATTGTATTCAATGTATAAACAGATTCAACTCGATATTTATACCAACTCCCAAATACTACCAATGTTTGTTTATGTGCATATTAAGCTATTTCCCAAAATATGATTAGCCCTACTTTATGACATTTAATTTATACTTAAAATGTTATTTGCATGTGGGTCTTTCAATTTACTTAAATGGCATTAAACTGATTCTACCTAAGTTCTTATCTCAAATAAAAATCAGGTACAAGTATACTTACTGTCCTTTATGGAACCGGCCTCCTTCCCCTCTCACTCTGTTCATTGCATGCCGATGTCTTGACTCATGAAGGTATTTCTGAGGAAGATATTGCTATTTTGTACTCTAGTATCCTTAACATTCACAAAGAATAGTTTATCCCCATTAGTAATATATAGCATTGTATAATTCTACAAAGGGAGGGCATTGCATTTTCATGCTTTAAAAATACGCAGTATACTGGAATACGAGTGAATTTACTTTGCGTTCCTTAGGTATCCGGCCTTCACCTTCTAGCTTTGCTCTGGCTTGGCGTCTTTTAAGAATTCTGTGGTATTGTTTAGCATTTACATACAAGGGCTCCTCCTCCAATAATTCAGGTCCAGGAAGTGGTATTCTTTGTAATTGGGCTACACCTCCATTACCAACCTGAAATGACAATTACCAAAATATATTGTATTATATGCAATAGCAGTAATTTTTAATATTAAAAATTTTGGGGTGACAAAGATACAATACAGTACAGTACTAAGATTTAACAGCTTCATTTAAAAAATCAACAATTTAATCTTGTGATAATTTTCTTTATATTTTGAGTCTTCCTCTGAGCAAGCCTCTATGACATACATCCTTTTAAACATCAAAGCTTGATAAAGTAAAATTATAAGCATCAATAAGAGAATTACATCATTTCTTCACATTTCTTCAAGAACACATCTAGGAATCTAGCCATATAAATATTCCCACCTTGGAATTTCTCCCATTCTCTATACAAAATAGAACTTGGACTAGTGAAATCCACAGTTGCAAGAGTGTCTTTGCAAGAACTGTCCACGAACATTGGAATCTCTAAGTGGTAGAGGATGAAAGCAAATGGCAGAGCAGGCTTCATGTAAACCAACATGTTATAATAATAATAATAATTTTATTTAGGTAAGGTACATACATAAAGAGATTTTACAAAGTTTGTTGGCTTTATAGATAGAGCTAGTACATACAATGCCTAAAGCCACTATTACGCAAAGCGTTTCGGGCAGCCCTACTTGTAATGAATAAGAGTGGAGCATTTGAACAATGTTCACTGACAATGTTGAGCATGCACTTTATCCATCCCACACCAGAGGAAAGATAAAGTAGAGAAAGCAAACTGTGTGACTGCTATAGTCTTTAAACATCCAGTGTAGATGATAAATGGAGTACAATTTCCCTACAACTTTCAAGTCATTGAGTGGGTGTATTTATAAAAAGTCATTCATTTATAAAGGACCATAAAGCCAAAGCTCAACTCCTGCAAGCACAACTAGGGGAGTAACAAGAAAAACTTAAATTACATAAAAATAGACCTAAAAATCCGAGACATCTAGCACATCCTTAATTGCTAAGGTGGTAATTGCTAAAACTCTGTAGCAAGTCTTTAATTTAACTTTGTCCACTATTTAAACATTTCTCAGATATAATGGATACAATACCAAAGTTAACGTGACAAATTAAAGAACTATCTCGACCCCCCTAGCCCTGTGCACATCCATCAACCTCACATCTCGCCATGCCTGCCTTTGTGTTATGGTCCATCAGCTGTGTTATGGTCAATCAGCTGTGTAGTAGCCTCTTGTATGCCATCAATATTCTCCAAGGAAAAGGGAAACCTGTCCTAAACTGAAATCCTATTTAATTATAGGTCTTCCTGAAAAGGTAACACATTTAAAGAATTTGCTGCTAACACTGATAAAGTCTGACTTACCATGACTACATTTGCAAGGTTAGTCTGTTGAGTTTGCGCCGTCTGTTGAGCTGTTTGGCTTTGGCTCTGTTGCACAGTCCCTCCTTGTGATGTTGCTAGCTGAATTAGGTTACCTGAAACATTCAGAACTTCACACACAAAACTAAGATTAGTGTACGATTTGGATGAGAAAAGTTATGTTCAATATTAATACAAAAAATATTGCCAAATAATATATTCAAACACATTCAGTATCATTTCTAATAATTATTAGCAGAGCTGCTCAGATTCTCTTCCAAATGAGGTTACCACAAAATCTGATAGAAACACGGTTACTTCTAGCACAAGCATGCCATCATCTTTATGCATGATTATTAACTTCCCATTGCATTTTACACTTCAACTCACTGAATATGGACAAACACCATTAAAATGACATCTTCAGGAGAAACATTTACAACATGATAGGAGCCACAAGTTTAAAAGGATTACATCTACTGTATTGAAAAACCATTTGTACTATTTTTTTTTACATTATAAAAACTAAGTTCTATCTATAGTGATAATCCTTTCCTTGAAGCACATTTCTTCCTTGTGTCACTGAGAAAAGTTTACCCAAATACAAGAACCACCTCCAAGCATGATGATTTTCTTAAAAACACTAACCCTCAAAGTGCTGTTATCAACATACACCGATTTAAACTATTATGGTCCGAGTTTTATACAATTATGCTAGTATGGATAGCTCTATATGCATGTAGTGGAGTTTACCTTGGCCCATGAAAAAATCCTCCTATAAATTAACGATTGCATACTATGCAAATGCAGTTATTGTCGCAAATGTTAAATGCCAATGTGACAACTGCCATGATATAAAATTCCATAATTATTACATGTATATACTGATAATGTTCACATGGTTTTCACAACTATACAGTTGTAATGAAGTACAGTATACTAGGACAACCAATCATTTGAACCCAGGCCCACTCCACACTATTCTAAACAGATATATTCCTACCTTACATCACCTTTCATTCATTTTTTCTTGTTACTTTACTACCTCCCTCTCCATTATCACCACCTTTACGTTTGTCTTGCAAACCCACCACACAAAACTTCATTCCATAAAAGCTTTTGCCACTTTCAACATCTGTTCCATATTTATTCCCATTTCATTCGCCAATTGTATTGACCCGAATTTTCTTTTCTTTCGGGGCCTGTGCAGGTTCCAGACAAAAATCAGAGCATGTTTTAATATCAATAGGAAGAAACTTTTGGGAAGACATGTTCCTAGCCCAATTAATATGTAATCGGATACTTTCATCACTTCGAGAAAGTCTCATTCTTTCACCAGTTTGTGCAGCGCCACTCCTCAACAACTTTAATATTCCCTATATTCACCCATCATTCAGGCTTGTCTGTTTACAGGCTCTTGTTCTATGACTAGCAACTTTAACATTGTTAAATGGAAATATATCATGGAAGAAACCCACTCCTTAATTTGGACAAAGGAAAAGGTAAACTAGGAAACAATGACAGTGGAATGGAAAGTCACTAATAATCTGTATGACAAATAGCATGGGCAACTGACAAAGCTTAATACATGCTGCAATTGGTAGAGGATGCTCAAGCCACTCTGCTAAAAGAACAAATTGTATGGGTGCATGTAACATCACTGCTGATATATGACAAGATATGCCAATATCTACATTTGCTGCAAATAACAATTAGGATATCTCACTTGTGGGTTGTTGTTGAATAACATTTCCTTGACTATCCAGCTGTATAGGATAGACCAGTGCTTGACCATCTGCAGTCTGGATGATCTGGGCTTGCTGTGCCGACCCAGCAGGCACACTCACTACATGGTTACTTCCCTGAAGAAATAATAAACATGAGGATTCTAAAGCAGTTACATTTCATTACTGTCATTTTGTGCTTTGAAAATGGAACTTCATGAATGATATTTGATGTAAAGTGGACTAGTTTCCACTTGTTTTTTGCTTTTATTACTAACAATTTTAATTTAAACATCTTATTACCTTTTTAAAAGAATATTCTTGGTCGAACAGAATATTTGGTTTCAGACCCTCCCACTACACATGACTCTGTTGCACTTTATTTATGCCATACTTTACCACATACGTTTTTATTAATAAATGAGAGAAAACCAAACTCAAATGGAGAAGTAAATTTTTAATATAAATAAATAAAACTTCAGAGTTTTAGCAGAACATTTTAACACACAAGAGACTCACTTGTAGTCCAGAGGCAGGAACAACTTGAAGCTGCTGTAATTGCTGGGTGCCCCCAGCTTGTGCCACCTGTATAGAACCTGAACCACCCACTGTCTGTAGCATCAACTGCCCATTGGCTGTCTGGATGATGTGTGCACCCTATAATAAATAAAAAGAAGCTTACAAATACGAATAACTTTGTTGGGACTAATTTAACCAGCCTTACTTTACGTTTCTAAACCAATTGCCAATGTTCTAAACACAGTAATATTTTCATGGAAAAATTTGTCAACACTGATAATTTTAAGTCAAAATATACAAGACTTATGTTGTTGCAAAAGAAAAAATCATACATACAAAAATATAGCACCTGCTAGTACAGTTCCTACATACTCAGGAAAGGCAAATCCGGAACCCAGACTACTTGCCCCTATCATCTATAAATTTTGTTTCGGTTTACACAAAACAATGGGATAACATTAACTTCTATAATAGCTCTTGACCAGGGCTATTGTTTTCTTTTTAATATCTTTATCTGGTATTAAATGTACGAGTCGATGGAGTCAAAAGGTTTCCAGAATGGAAAGGTGTCAACATAAATGTCACTCGTTCCCAATGCTGGAAGCTTAGCGGAAAGAGATGACAATCCTCAACTCTTTAGGACTATTTTTTACCCCTGATTATGCCTAAAAAAAAAAAAAAATCTTTTTTTAATATTACAAACATATATACAACAAAAGCACCTTTCAATTAATATTTATATTTCATTTTTTAAATTGAAGTACTGCACAGGCAGCCTTCAATTTCATGAGGGTTATGTACCTTTTAGAAACTTGTAAAAACAAAAACCATGCAAATAAAACTGAAAGGATAGAAAGTACAGAACAAAAAAAATAGGGCTATGTACCAGAGAAGGCCAGAGGTAAACTTTTTTTTTCAATCTCTACATTTTAAACATTAATATTTTAATGTTCTCTACAATTTCTAACTAAAAATACGGTACACTATCAAGTACAGAATATAAGCAAAAGAGCCTGTAAAACCAAAGTGTCATGTGCGGTAGCCCAACACTACTAAGAGCATTATAGCCCCATATATCATTTGATAATCTATGTTAAAATTACAAAGTCTACATTTCACTCAAGTTTGTATGAATACTCTTGATTAAATTAGCCATATTAAATTCAGAACAAGAAAATTACATCCCTGCAATTGATTAAATTGTGAGCAAGATACTGTATCTAATAAATTGTCATTCATATTTCCGTGGATATAAACATTCCATTCACCTAGGCTGTATGGGTCTATTCGTGGACCCCCCACACGTGGGGATACAGTGTTGGCCTCGCATGCATAGGGTCCACAGATCGAGACCCATACAGCCCTGGGGCCAGATTCACGAAGCAGTTACACAAGTGCTTACGAACGTGTACATTTTTCCTCAATCTTTGACAGCTTTGGTTACATTTATTAAACAGTTTACAAGCATGAAAGCTTCCCAATCAACTTTTATTGTTATAAACCACCACCTAGTGCTTTGGAGCTCAATAACTGTTTAATACTTGTAAACAAAGTTGCCAAAGATTGAGAAAAGATGTACAGGTTCGTAAGTGCTTGCGTAACTGCTTTGCGAATCTGGCCCCAGGTGAATGGACTGTATCTAATATTGCTGCACTGATAAAAGGAATAGTAAACAAATGTTGAAAGTCTACCTTTGGAGTGTGAATGCACATCCATCCTGAATCTGGTGCTTCAGTACCAAAAGTCAAGTACTGTAGAATAAATATGAAGTTTTGCCAAAATATGATTATTACAGTATAAGCAGAAAGAGACCAAGTTAAAGAACAAAGACTGGATGCCATCATTTTGATAGTAATCTTAATTATAAGATACATTAGGAAAAATTATATTCTAGTACAAATGAGATTAAAATTATGTTGTGGAAGAAAAAATCTATGGCAGGCTCAACAAAACCAAAAGAAAAAAGTGCTACTTTTTAACAAATTTTATCAAGACAGCCTTTGGTAATAAAAACTAACTGTACTGTATAGTCAGTTGTTACTAATTGTACAGTATTGCCTATACAATAATTAAAAGCCATTTCATTTGCTCTATTAGATGATGATTAAGAAGCAATTAATTCGGTAGGTTTTAAGTGGCTTTAACTGAAGAAAGTTATCCCCACTTAAAAACCCATCCTTGTAACATTATAAATGCCAAATCCCTCCTCAAAACTCACAATGAAGTTGTGTAATTAGTTTGATATTTTTACTTTTAAGTTTTATACAATAAAAATGACTGAGGTGTCGATACTGTGCGGCAAATTGTCAGTTTTATGATTTCAAACACTGAACTATGAATAGTGCATCTTAGTAACTGTCTGCATGTCCTTGAGTCTAAGATCACTAGCCAACCTGTCCTCTTACAAATTACATCTGAATTTGGCCGTTTGCCCGTCTGGCCAAAAATGGACATAATTTGAACATGAAAAAAATTGAAAATAAATTTGGATTTTTTTTTTTTTTCAAAACAGTAAGTTAAGGGTCCTCTGGTAGGTTAAGAGGGCAAAAAATCCTCCTAGGGTCCTCTGGTTGGTTAAGAGGGCAAAAAATTCTAATGTTTCAAAACATCATGAAAAACGTTAATTGAAAGTTCCTCTCCTAACCTTATCGAGTAAGCCAGAGGACTGAAACAGAAAACGGGACAGGACTGTACATCGCTTTTGTGAGCCAATTTAATTTCAAATTACGTCCATTTTTGGTCATAGCTCACATACGAGTGAAAAGCGACATTATTTTTAATTAACACTTTCGCGCTCTCGGCGTTCAAAAAAAAAATCATACCCTAGATGCTTTCGGCGCTTCGCGCACCTACGCGGTAAGACCAAAAAAGTGTACACTCTTTTGACTGTCCTGACAATATTTGAAGGCGCACGTATTTAAATTTGGTATCACTGTGTTCGCAATAAAATTGTCTATAAGAACATATCTATAAAATGCCGCCAAAGCATAAGGATTATCAACACCAAATAAAAAACTATTCAGATCACTAGCCGAGAGCGCCAAACAGTAACAAAATGTTTCCACTCTCTTAATGGTTGCGAAGCCTACAGTTGTCCTACATCGCTAATTGTGGTATCATTGGAATCGCAATAAAATTCTCTACACGGACATATGCATATAAATATAGATTCAATGTCGTAGCCCACCCAAAACAGTGTGGGAAGTGGCCGAAGTGTTACCCGCGGCGGCATATCGACGAAACTTGCTTTGAAAAGTGTATACTCAATTCACTGTCCTGACATTATTTGTCTATGTATGTATTTCATTTTAGTACCAATGTGCTTGCAATAGAATGTTCTATAAGAACATAAGTATTAAAGGTCACATAAGGATGCGTTCGACCGGCAACATATATAAAAACTACGTCGATTATACTCGTCGTGTCAATAATACAATTGTTTTACCACGATGATTCACTGCCACGCCGTTCTCTTTAATAAGCTGTTCGGCTATTAGAGAAAACGTACATTTCATGGCAAACATTTGTAAACTATTTCCAAGTTGATCGGATAATAAATGGATTTTATACAAATATTTTTGCTCGTGACTCCTGAGAGGGGCACGCGTGCGGTGTGATTAATAATATTGGTGACAACGACGGTCTGCTGGAAAGCGCCAAAGTGTTAAGAGGACGGGTTGCACTAGCACCTGAACAGAGAAGCCAATTTGATTGAAAATTAAGCTTATGTTCTAATTAATATGTAGGTGATCTTAGTATGGAAGTTAAGAAAGAACACTGTACTGTATATTACTCTCAGACCAGAAATATTTAGGCGAAACTGAATCGGGGAAAGAGATCATGCTGAAGACTTAAAGCCGTAATGTGTTATTTTACTTTGTTGTTAGAAAAGCCACCGACATAATTATGTGGGATGAGTATAATAAGGGAAGTACAGTATACAATAAGTGTGATATTTGTGAGAGGTGAGAATTAAATATCAAGTGGTGGAGTGGTGACAGTAAAAATAATAATTTCATACGGACATATTAGTTGGACGACACATTTTAACAGAAAGCACGTTCAAAGATGAACAAGATTACATCATAGATACAGATAACCAGTATATTGACAGGAAACAGTGGAACATTACTGTATACGAAAGGATATAGGGTACATAGGGAAGAGGTTAAAGTTTGAAAGTGAAAGGTTTGTGTTGTGATGTCTCTCTCCTGGAGAAACTTTTTTTGTTCAATTTTATTCAAATATACAAGAGTTCTTACATTCTTGTAGAGTCACTAGCACGCATAGCATTTCGGGCAGGTCCTTAATCCTAATTCGCCCTGGAATATGACCCGGCTAAATCATTTAACAACCAGGCACTCATTCACTGCTAGGTGAACAAAGGTTACAGTTAAGGATTGGCACCCGGTCAATCTTCTCCGGCCAGAATACGAACCCAGACCAAAGCACCCATGAAGCACTGGGTGAGTGTCTTACCACTGCACCATGGGGACCTGCTGTTGTCACCCCTTAACACTTTGCCCGGCCCAGCGGGCCACCCACAGCGTTCCGCAAGGTAGGCCGAGTTGCCCGAGCAGACAACCACACTTCAATGTTTATACTTTTTACGATTTTCTCCCCCTCAATTTTCATGCTACGTCGTTCATTTTGGTATCAAATTATTCACACCAGAATGCTCTAAAGGCATATATGCATATAAGGCAAATATAAGATCACCACCAATAAAATAAGATAAAGTACATAGTCTTTTAAAAAAAAAAAAAAGGCTTTTTATCATTTTTTTTTAGTCGTTATTCATTCCCGACATTATTTGTTACACTATCATTCGTTTGTGTTATTTCTTGTTTATAAAGTAACAAAAAAAATACCAGAGGTAAAACAACCAGAACGGGCACACGTTTTTGACTAGGGTAGGATGGGTCAGTGGCCACCCATGCAGTGGTGTAGTGATGCTACGTGGGGTAGAGAGATAACGGGAAGACGGAGCGCATATTAAAACAAGTCCCATAGTAATCAGACAAATGGAATTTTCACAAATATTTAAATTTTGGACGGCATTATCGGCCTCCCCAGACCTACGTACAGTATATTGATTTTAGGACGAAAATATCATTATCTCACAGCGAAAAAGTGTTAATATGTTGCTCAAGGGAGAGATCTAAATGTTGGGTCTATAGAGTAGATTTTTACAAATATTAGACATAAGAATGGCAGTTCAAGCAGGACAAAATTCTTTCTGAAATTTGACATCTACATACTGTACATATCTATTAAGATGCCCCAGAACCTTGCTAGACCAGGTTCAGATTCAGCCAGTCTTGTTTATCAAGGTTTGAAAATTTTTGTAGTACCTTAGCTTTCAAATTGGGAATAGTTGCCCACCAAGATGCTCTAGGAACTACGGTATTTTTGTATTTTTTAGGTCAAAACTCTTCAGAAGGTCAGTGAAGCATTTATGGACACACTACTTCCAATAAATGTTAGTTGAATAGTGTAGATAAAATAAACCAGTTTATTTTATTGTATAAAACTAGATTTGGCTGCTACACTGAATAGAGAACATACTGTATGTGGATATTACCAAGGTAAACAAAATGGTTTCAAAATTAGAAGTGGGAGCTATGTTAAAAATAATAATCAAGATGGCATGCAGTCTCCATGCATACAACAAAATCAATATGCACAACAATGGGAAAAACATAGCATTAAAAATAATCAAATGCAACATTTCTGTGTAACCCTCGGTTTTCCCGAGATAAAGGTTCAAAGGAGTCTTTAATCAGATGAGCCTCTTGCAACAATCAAGCTAGCCAGTCTACCAAGACCGCTCTGACCAGACACCATATTCAGATTTGCCAAGTGTCAAATAACATTCTTTCTGGGCCACAAAGGATTACAGTCTACCAATTTCAATTCAAGCAAGATTGCATTGTGCTTCAGATTTTTTTTTACATACCGTTTTTCTGCACAACTGAAATTACAGTGCATGAAAGTGACCTTTCAAAGCAGAATTAAATGTTTAGGTTAATCAAGTTTAATGGTGCAGCCAGTCCGCTGGGAAAAAGCAATGTAGCTCCAGGTTCTCCTCCACTCAGTTTTTGACCAAATTTGCCTAACCATTTTCAGCGCTTCACACAAAAGATTTAACATAAGATACAATTACTGTATTATAAACCCCAAAAGTTAGACTAACCTGCGTTGCAGCCTGTTGAACAGCCTGCATCCTGCCCTGATGCCAAGACTGCTTTCACCCGTGTCTTCAATAACAACTGAAAAGACAAAATTAATTGAATGCCATACAAAAATGTTATAACTTTTGCATGTCCACTAATACTACATCAAAATGTTTATTCTATCTTCATCTTATATTGGTAATGCACATCTTACAAGCGTTTCATACAGAGTTATTCTTGTAGCTATTGTTGTATAGTTTAGACCGACTGATAATGCCTTGCTGTAGACAGCTTATATAGCTTCTCACCTAGCCAAACTGACCAAAATGTAGCAAGGTGGGAAGAGATTAACTAATTAGTTGTACACTTGGGAAGAGGTAAATTGTAATTAGTGGACCTAGGATTATTGTGGAACATCTTGGAATGTTACACTCTTTAAGAGATAATAAAAATTGTGATCCACACCTCTGTGGATCACAATCTTACCTCTATCTTATGCTTTTTATAGGCACTTAATTTGTTTAAGCGAGTGTGTTCAATTTTGTCCCCTTAAGTGTAAACCATTAAATCATGAAATTAAATGTTAAGCCCAAACACATTTATCTTAATCTACACAATGTAATGACAAGACCTGACCGACTTGTATGATTAGCAAGGAGTAGACTGGACAAGCTGACATAAACATGAACAATTACCTCAAAAACGGTCAGAAATTTTCACACACACTGATAAACCAATGATTAAACTTGTATACAACTGCATGACCTCTGGAGCCACAGATTACACAAAACTAATTTAACAACATTAGCAAGTAAATGGGACTGGCACCCACTATTCATAGCTATTCCAGGGCTGGATCACCCAAGGAACACGCCTGCCAACACACCAGTCTTAATTAGCCCACCAATACTGAAATCACTAGTAGAGCTCAAGATGGGTGCGCATTTCCTAGTAAATTCATTTCCCCGTGTCAAGTCCAGCTGATCCATGTAAACACAGGTGAGGGAAGAAAGCCCGCGCACTTCACTTCTCACATAACTTACATCTCAACATGGCTTCCTTTTCTTTGTCTGGTAAATGCAGATGACGTCCCGACATATCTTCACTCGTAGCGTCTCGCCTAATCTGGGACTCTTCTAGCCCGGTTGATGTCGAATCCCAATCAAACGTGAGCGGGAAGAAGCAATAGAGTATAATTTGTGGACTTACATTGGGTATTAGCGAGCAGTTTCCGATGATTGGTAGTGCGACACCAATGAACGCCGAGCCTCCCTCCGCCGCTCCGCATTGGTCCAGCCGAGGCCGCCTCGCCTCGGCCGCCCTCGCCACCTCGCTCACGCTCCCACAACCTTCGCTCACATCTCCCCTCAATATGTATCTTCCCTCCAACTTACTTCAATTTTAACAATAAGCAACCTGCCTTTTCTATATTTTAATTTTGTTTGCGGAGTATTAGGGCGGATCATTCTCATCGCCACTAATACCAAGGTCATAAATGTTTATTTTGAAACGAAACATATTTAAATCTTGAAGAAATCATCAACAAAAGCGCTTTCGAGCTCCAGCAAATGAGACAAGACCAGGCGTGGCGATTTTTCAGCGGTGCCACATCTCGCATTCCTGGCGTATATTACCTTAATTAGCTACTTTCTGCCATATACGGCCAACTTTGTGGCTTTAATCTACTTGCTTTACCTATTTTAAAAGAAAAGTATCTTCAAAACAAAATAAAACTTCCAGAATCCTCATTTTGTTAAGAAAATTATGTTTACTATCCCTGAAAAGAGTTTTATATCACGCTTATAGTAAATTGGAAAAAATATTTATCAGTGTTCCTTAATGAGCTTAGTCCAAATCAAAAAAGTTATAAAAAAATCAATAGTGTCATTGTCACGGCGGCCCAGCTGCTCAACCTCCCGCGCAGTGTTACCAAGGACCACAAGGAGGCCGGCTGCTGGCAACACAACACCCGCCAAATATGAACAATGTAACAAAAACCTGCGATTACTTATTTAGCAGCCTGAGACCAATGATACACCGAGAACGGCAACAAATGCCTTGTAGAACTGAGACAAAATAAAATTTACACTAGCTATTCCACTTCTGTTCGAAACGCCGTACAATTATTATAATTTTATTTATTTATTTATTTATTTATTTATTTATTTATATATACATGAGTTCTTACATTCTTGTAAAGCCACTAGTATGCATAGCGTTTCGGTAGCCCGTCATCAGACCAAGTCCATTCCATCCAGCAGTCGACCCCAAAGACGCATTCATAAAATTAAAAATGCTAAATTAAATTTTTAAATTTTGCCCCGAGGGGCGAGTTTATTGGGCAGCGCCACTCATCTTGTGAGTGAACATACCGCCATAGCAGAATGTACAACACTCCCCAATAGGAAGAAAACCCGCTAGGTTGTTCATCCTGTCACTTGTACCCAGACACAGCTGGGACTTGCTTAACTGTCTCAAGTGAACAGCTCCTCAAACAAGAAGATTAACATTTATCAACCCTTAAAAGCTTACGTTATCTTGCGGGTGCAAAATGGGGAAATCTTTTAAGAACAGTATCAACATTTGACAAAAAGTGTTTTCCTAACTCAAACAATGTGGGGTTTATTATTCTACAGTTATTCCTAATGTCTCTCAGGTGTTCACATTCACGTAGATAGTGGTCAAGGCGGTGTCTATCACTCTCACCACAGATTCTGCAACTTCGCTGATCAACTGTTGTTTCCATTCCAAATCTCCATGGATATTTGTATCCAAGACGGATTCTCGCTATTACAGATTCTCTCCCTCGTCGTCCTCCTCTTCGGCCATACTGATTGGGATTGCCAGCTGCAACCATGTTGTACCATCGTACAGATTCACTGGTTTGTGCTTCTATCCTCCTTTCCTCAGTTACCTTGTCACGGTGATGTTGCCTGATAATACCTCTAATTTGTAGTTGAGTCTTGGGTATGAAGTATTCAATATGGTCTCCTTCAGCAGCCAGCACATCTGCTCGTTCATTCACACATATTCCAACATGGGAGGGGATCCACAGAAACTTGATGACTCTTCCCTGGTTGGTAAGTACTCTCACAGCTCTCTTGATTTCAGCGACTATTGCAAGATTTTCTGCCTGATTTTTACTTAGGCTTTGCAGTGCTGCTTTTGAATCGGTGCAAATCACTGCACCATTAGTGTTCCGTTCAAGAAACCTTAACGCCATAACAATGGCAGTTAGCTCTGCTTGCGTTGAAGAGGCATAGTTCTCAATACGTGCTTTTTCTTCATTTCTGCGTTGGAAGGTATTATCCTTGATTACCGTGTATGCTGCACCAGCCCTGCCATTGATAGGATTAGTTGACCCGTCAGTGTAGATTTGATCTAATTCATCTCCGGCTTCTTTATAAATGTCCTCGAGATACTTGTGCCTCATTTCTTGTGGTATCATGTTGGATTTTTTCATTGCCATTTCATTGATGATGATCTTGCACGAGTCATCCTCCCAGGGAGGTAACCTCTCTACAGGCAGGAGCTCACGGGCTTGCTCAAGCAGGTGAAGCTCTTCAAGGTAGCAGACTGCTCTGTGATGCCATTTTTTGCTTCTCCTATTTCCCCCTGAAAGTAGCACAGAGCTCAGTTTTTTCTTGGCAATATCATTGTAATGGGGATCTCTGGCTATCCTAATTGCAAGCTTAGCATTCAGCTCCTGAATTCTGCTTTTAATACTGGGAAGGGACAACTCCTCTCGTAGATTAGACGTTTTGGCAGTTCTTGGGACTCCAAGAATGATTGTCATGGCTTCATTTTGAATGCTTTCAAGCCTTTTCATATCGCTTTGGGAGTAGGTGCACAGTACTGGTGCGGCATAGTCTATGACGGAGCGCACATAGGCTGTGTACATCATTTTGAGCACGGCAATAGAGGCTCCATGTCCATTCCAGGTCATAGCTTTCCGCCTGTAGTGACCTACAGAAAAGTGACCCCAACCGACACTAATCAGAAGATGTACGTACAGTAGTTCACAATCTACAACAAGAGCAAGAATACTGCTAACTTACCCACGAAGAGTTCTCCATACACCAAAAGAAACGTCTATTAAACGAGACGAACGTCGTCTATGTTATTACATACACAAGCTTGTTAATAATAAAAAAATAAAAATAGCTTTTCTCAGCATCAAAAACGCCATCTTTTCCTGAAATTAAGTTTCAGGAGAAATGCATAGGCTTATTCGCCAACCTTAAATAATTGACCAATTACTGGTACATGAAAGCAACAAATCACACAAAATGAAGCCATGAGAATTATCTTAGGATGCCCAAGAAATGCTTGAGATAATGAGGATGGAGTTGAATCTGCAGAGTATTGGGGATAGAATTTCAGAGATAAATGTAGCCACTGCCATTAGATTAATGACGGGGGACATCTCCCGTCACGCAGGGTGCAGTCGCACCTCCACAGATCTACAGTATCATCTACTGATACTGGTTATGGCTCAAAAGGGCCACCACTTACGGGCTATTCATGCCCGTGCCACCTTTTGGATGGCTTAATCTTCATCAATCATCAATCAATTAGATTAATGACAGACGGCACCGTTCCTGTGCCAGGTAAGTCCACTACGGGCTCACTATAGATGAGCCCGTAGCCCCGCTCCTATTTGCCCCGCTCCTGTGCCAGGTAAGTTACGGGCTCACCATAGCCCGTGCTACTTGGAACTTGTTCCGAGTAGCTGAATCTATAAAAAAAAATTAGATTAATGAGAGGTGGGGGAGCTAATGAAGTAATCCTCTCGCTTCCCACCTCTCGAGAGGTGGGAAGTAATGAGCAATGTATGACGAAGAAGAGAGCATATATGAGTACCTTATGTTCTAATGTTATAAAGTATGATGTTATTACACAGTGTATTGCTGTGCCCAAGAGACAATTTACACCACCATGGGAGGATTGTAATGTAGATGTAGTAATTACTCCCTTGCAAAAGAAAAAAAGTATGTCTGAAATAGGAGAGCTGAGGGCAACATATGATTGTATAATTAAAAAATTACCTACAGAAAACACTCTACATGTATATTGTGATGGGTCAGTAGCTAGGGATGGGAAGGCAGGATGTGGAGTCTTGATCAGGGAGTACACTGACACCGGCACTGTAGATACTGTTATTGGACGCCGCTTAACTGACAGTGTCTCTTCAACGCAGGCTGAACTCCAAGGTGTATTAACAGGATTACAGCAAGTAGTCAAATGTGGTAAAAATGCTTGCGTCTTTATTGACAGCAGGGGAGCGTTAAAGTCTTTAAATAGCAGACGCCCAGTATACCAGAATATTGTGATAGAGTGTAGAGAGAATGTTAAGAAATGATAAAAACTGGGTATAAAGTAAGATTCATGTGAATCCCTTCACATGTGGGAATACTGTTGAATGAGGTAGTTGATGACATAGCGAAGAGAGCCACGGAAAAAACATCTTGTTGATGTTGTATGTCAGATAACCTTGAAACAAATAAAAACAAGAATCAAGATGATCCAAGAGGGTGAAGAAATGGTAAAGAGAATGGCGATGGTGGACAGTAGTAACACTTAAGAATTATTCAATAATAAATATAAACTCGTCCTTCACCTATGGTTGAGGAAAATCTACTTGGAAGGATTCAATTTACATGAGATTAAGATTAGGATACAAATATATTTGGCAATACGGTGTTGATGTCAGTGAAAAAGATAAGGAGTGTAAATTATGTAGTATGCCGCACGCCCACACCTTAGAACATTATGTATTAGAGTGTCACCTTATTGATAACTATAGAAATAAGGAAATAAGTAGTGTACCACATCAAATTGTTTGGATGTGTAATAATGGTATGATAGACAGTATACTTAGGAGCTACAAGAATTTTCCCCCAAGAGTGTAACACTTAATTTTAATTATATGCGGTGCTTACTATAATAACCTGCAATGGTTAATGGGATTCTTGTACTGTTATTGTCTATTTGTACTCATTGAATTTGTGCGCCCCTTGAGGGACTTGAAGTAGAGGGAGGGGGGGGGGGGTAGAAATAGCCTAAGCTACTCTATCCCTTTGAGATGTATTTCTTTCTTGAACTTGAACTTGACACAGGACTAAGGGCATAAGTGTGACGTGCAGCGCATTAATATAATGTAAGAGTGCAAGAGTGTAAGAACTCTTGTATATATAAATGAAAAAAACAAAACAAAAAATAATAAATAAATAAATAATGTAATTTTTTTAGTCAGTCCCCTAGGCGGAGTGGCATGACACTCGCCCCTCGCATCTCAAGCGATTTGGCCGGGGAGGATTGACTAGGCGCCAGTCCTTAACTGTACGCCTCTGTTCACCCAGCAGTGAATGGGTACCTGGTTGTTAAACGATACTTTTTCTCTCTTTTATTTAAAATACAAAAAATACAATATGTACATTACAATAGAGCAAGGAAATATCCTCACCTACAGCCGAGAAAACCTCTTTGGCGGATCGTACTCCCTGGGAAAATTAGGATTAAGAACCTGTCCGAAACGCTATGCGTGCTAGTGTGTTTACAAGAATGTAAGAACTCTTGTATATATAAATAAAATATTAAAAATCTATAAACAAATACTGTAATTCGTCAGGAAGACTCCCCTGTAATCTTGACCTTGGACTCGCCCAAGGTGTGGCAGTTTTAATAAACCGTGAGGATTCCCCAGCGAACATTCTTACCAACGTATAATACTTATATATACTTTATATTATTTAACAATAAAAAATGTATTATTGAAACGTATTTAATAAATTATTATTTAAATCAATGTGTTATTATTATTGTTAAAACTGGGCTCTCGTCAAAAGTATTTTTTAGTTAAAAGAAATAGTCATTAATACTTTATGAGATATTCAAAGAATCAGATAATATACTAGTTGTTTTTCAGAAGGTACAGTATCTGTATATTCAATAAAGCCTACGCGCAACATTTTGGGCATAACCTTCAGAAGGGTCTTCACCCCTTCTGAAGATGTACAGTATTATTAAATACGAAAGTACTTAAGGATATACAAAAGTACTTAAGGAAATTCCTGTTTCAATTCTTCCTCCGTGGTTTGACACTATCATATACAGGTATATATATATTTATGTAGGGTCTCGTGGAACACTTGGCTTCTTTCTTTCTTTCAGCAATGTGACAACTTCAGGAATACACTGTATCCAATAACAGGAATTACTGTATTATTAAACCCAAATTAGGCTGGGGAGCAGTACGCTGCAGCAGTGATCGCTGGAAGTGGTTGCTAGTAGTGGTCGCTAGCCTCAGGTCACGTAACAACAAAAGACGTTGGATCTCGTGCAATTACCGTGTAAAGATATAACGTAGGAAGTGTGCTGTATTTTCAACAGACTTAACGGATACAAAAGTAACCGATAAGAAGATTGTGTTACAAGAATACACTGAAACGCTCTCGGTACAGAGAACCCCAAATTAGGAGCTAAGAGCATCAGCATTGAAGTTGCTAACAATGGCGAAAACGCCCTTTTCAAGTTTGATATTGGCGGTCCTGTTTCTGTCAGGTATTGTTAATCTATACAAGTTAAATGTGGCAGCCAGGAATGACTTAAGTGGGCCCCAAACGCAACCAGTGGGCACTAAACGCAACCAGTGGGCAGTAGTGGACCCCACACCCATCCTGAGGGTGGGAGTGGGCCCCAAACGCAACCAGTGGGCAGTAGTGGACCCCACACCCATCCTGAGGGTGGGAGTGGACCCCATACACAACCAGAGGGCAGTAGTGGACCCCACACCCATCCTGAGGGTGGGAGTGGGCCCCAAACGCAACCAGTGGGCAGTAGTGGACCCCACACCCATCCTGAGGGTGGGAGTGGAACCCATACACCAGTGGGCAGTAGTGGACCCCAAACACAACCAGTGGGCAGTAGTGGACCCCACACCCATCCTGAGGGTGGGAGTGGACCCCATACACCAGTGGGCAGTAGTGGACCCCACACCCATCCTGAGGGTGGGAGTGGACCCCATACACAACCAGTGGGCAGTAGTGGACCCCATACCCATCCTGAGGGTGGTAGTGGACCCCATACACAACCAGTGGGCAGTAGTGGACCCCACACCCATCCTGAGGGTGGTAGTGGACCCCATACACAACCAGTGGGCAGTAATGGACCCCACACCCATCCTGAGGGTGGGAGTGGACCCCATACACAACCAGTGGGCAGTAATGGACCCCACACCCATCCTGAGGGTGGTAGTGGACCCCATACACAACCAGTGGGCAGTAGTGGACCCCACACCCATCCTGAGGGTGGTAGTGGACCCCATACACAACCAGTGGGCAGTAGTGGACCCCACACCCATCCTGAGGGTGGTAGTGGGCCCCAAACACAACCAGTGGGTAGTAGTGGACCCCATACCCATCCTGAGGGTGGTAGTGGACCCCATACACAACCAGTGGGCAGTAGTGGACCCCACACCCATCCTGAGGGTGGTAGTGGACCCCATACACAACCAGTGGGCAGTAGTGGACCCCACACCCATCCTGAGGGTGGTAGTGGACCCCATACACAACCAGTGGGCAGTAGTGGACCCCATACACAACCAGTGGGCAGTAGTGGACCCCATACACAACCAGTGGGCAGTAGTGGACCCCATACACAACCAGTGGGCAGTAGTGGACCCCATACACAACCAGTGGGCAGTAGTGGACCACACACCCATCCTGAGGGTGGTAGTGGACCCCATACACAACCAGTGGGCAGTAGTGGACCCCATACACAACCAGTGGGCAGTAGTGGACCCCATACACAACAAGTGGGCAGTAGTGGTGGGCAGTAGTGGACCCCATACACAACAAGTGGGCAGTAGTGGACCCCATACACAACCAGTGGGCAGTAGTGGACCCCATACACAACCAGTGGGCAGTAGTGGACCCCATACACAACCAGTGGGCAGTAGTGGACCCCATACACAACCAGTGGGCAGTAGTGGACCCCATACACAACCAGTGGGCAGTAGTGGACCCCATACACAACCAGTGGGCAGTAGTGGACCCCATACACAACCAGTGGGCAGTAATGGACCCCATACACAACCAGTGGGCAGTAGTGGACCCCATACACAACCAGTGGGCAGTAGTGGACCCCATACACAACCAGTGCGCAGTAGTGGACCCCATACACAACCAGTGGGCAGTAGTGGACCCCATACACAACCAGTGGGCAGTAGTGGACCCCATACACAACCAGTGGGCAGTAGTGGACCCCATACACAACCAGTGGGCAGTAGTGGACCCCATACACAACCAGTGGGCAGTAGTGGACCCCATACACAACCAGTGGGCAGTAGTGGACCCCATACACAACCAGTGGGCAGTAGTGGACCCCATACACAACCAGTGGGCAGTAGTGGACCCCATACACAACCAGTGGGCAGTAGTGGACCCCATACACAACCAGTGGGCAGTAGTGGACCCCATACACAACCAGTGGGCAGTAGTGGACCCCATACACAACCAGTGGGCAGTAGTGGACCCCATACACAACCAGTGGGCAGTAGTGGACCCCATACCCATCCTGAGGGTGGCACAGTATAAACTGTTAGACATAATGAGCTCAGGAACTGAACCTCAAAAAATCCTACTCAGTGTTAATTTTTAGTCCTGTCTGTGCTAATAAACTTTAAACTTTAAAATAAACCATTTTAAGTCCCTTTACCAGTGTTTCACCATAATTAATATACTGTAATTACAAGGCCACTGAGATAATGGGGCAAGATGTGTTTGCTATTATGGTAGCAATCTCTTAGACCTTTTAGTTAAGATATGGTCACACAGTAATGAAAGAATGGGTATAATCTTTGCTGCTTCTCAATGTAACAAAAACCTACTAAATGTTATGCAATTAATAGAGCATTCTTGTTTATTTCAGGTGTTATGGGACAAAAATGTTATGTATGTAAGGATCAAGACGAGAACACAGGAAAGTGTGCAACCACTGTGGAATCTTGCAACTTTGGTGAAGATTACTGCCTTTCAGAAATTAAATGGGGAAGTGAGTAGATTATTTGTCATGGAAAAGTGTTGATGCAGTTGAGCATAACAAATCTAAAATGGTTAGTCAGGTTCTTTTCAGATTTTTCATTATTTAATTTTTTTTAACTTCACTACAGTACAGTATATTGATTTTGTTTGATTTAGTAATAAATTTGATATTCTCTAGCTTTGAAGTGGGAAGGGAAGCGGAACACCTCTCACTTGCTCTTCCCTGTTCTCTCTCTCCTTGCCCTCCTCCAACCCCTCACCCACCTTTCTTACTCCAACCTTTCACCTCACTAAGGTGTTTAATTGTTCGTGATGCCTGTATTGGTGTAAACAAAAAGTACAAAAATTTAAAATTTTAAAATTTAATTCTGATTTAGGATTCATTTTAGGGTTTTGTTAGTTTTCAGACTGTCAAACTTTAGATTTTCAACACTCTTATACCTTAAAGTTAAATACTGTACTGTAATTGTTTGATGCTTGCATTAAAATCTGTTACATAAAAATACAATTTTACAGGCACACCATATTGGCAAATTGGTGTTCCCATGCAGCACTACATCAGCAAGCGTTGTGCTACTAAAGAGGACTGTGTTGAAACCATAAAAAGGTATATGCCTAACTGCTTGCGAATTTGGTGGAAAGATTGGACCTGTGCAGAGTGCTGCAAGGGAGATCGCTGCAACTACTACATCACGGTTTGTTTAATTAAAAAAATTTGTTTTAAATATGAGATGTTTGAAAAGTATCTTGAGACAGCAATTGCTAGTTATGAAAGTCTGTTTTAAAATTTGATAGTTTATTGTACCCTTGTTTCTTCTATTTTGTAATAATCTTTTGATGGATTTACAGTTGGACGCGGCTGTACCAACCTCTAATGCGATTTTAATACTGGTGGCTGGCGTGTTGACAGCTGCCCTTCCTTTGATTACGTGAGCAGCAGCCTTCATATAACTCTCCTTTGGCAGGCGTGTGAAAAAGTTACCAGATCTGCTAAGAAAATGTGATGTAACTTGTAAGAAAAAAGCTGCATATATACCTTCCATTAGATAGATTTATTCAGGGACACATTGTGATTTACAACCATTTCCGTCCAGCATTCTGGTGTACATATTAAGTATAAGTTAATATTTTTGTGTTTGTATTGCAAATGTTCTCAAGTGTTCATTTGAATTTAGAGATATTTTTATAACAGATGTTTTAATGTTTATCAAATATAAACAATGTAGTACAGTATATGGTATTTTCTATTAAATGCTTAACTAAGATTTCCATAATGATGTACAGTATAACAAATACAGTACTGTTATCATCATCATTGCTACACCATTCTTAATATATGATAATGGATATATTGGGGTTAAAATATATAAATATGCATATCTTGTTTTTTTCTTATAATGAAAATTGCAAAAATAATGATAATTTCCAAATTTCCAATTTAATTATCTTGATATATTAATCCCTTTAATGGATATACTGTACTGAACTGCACTTAACTGTTATAGAACTTCAAAGTAACTGTTAATTAAATTTATAAAACTAATAATATATGTAAATTAATTTTTTTTAATTATTTTATCTGAGAAGCAGAGGAGTGAAATAATATAATGTGAATTACTAATTATTTCTACTTAAAAATTAGAAGAGTTATATTTAAACATCAAATGAAGGATACATTTGATAGTGAGTGTATAGATCTAGCTACACTATATTTGTTCCTTATTATAAACATTTGTTTATATCCGAGTAAAGAATTGATTTTGAAATTGTGAAAATTGTTCAATAGAGGCAGCAAGACATGGAGGTTTCATAGGTAGCTTCTGCATGTTGGCTACAGTGATTTTATTTGTTGTTCCAGTGATAGGAATCTCATCATTTATTGCAGTTTAAAGTATGATGTGAATACTAAATGTGCACGTGAAGTTTGTTCTAAATATGTAAGTTATGACTTGTAGTAAAAGTGGGCACCCTCTAACTTGTACCATAATTAACACTTGGGTTTATAATAATTGAGAGTCATATTTTAGAGGGAAAACTATGTACTGTCCATATGTTAAGTATTGTCTCAGAAAATTGGATGGTTATATTAACTATAATAACTTTTCTGATTAATATTAAGACCTGTGCTGTAAATGTATTTTATATTAGCATTTTCTGACCAATAAATAATATAGTATATACATACAGTATTAGCATCTGGTATTTTCTCTTGCATCGACAAAAAATTTAATTATAGTTTTGTGCATATTGTACTTTTTGAGTCTGAAAATTTGGCTGATAACATAAACCTCTTATCTTCAAACATGGGATAAATGGGTGTTTAGGTGGTCACCTGTGTGGTATAGTGTGTGATTACCTCGCTAACTTGATTCTTATCTTATGTTACACATGTGAAAGTGATTTGCAATTACCAAAGTGATACTCTAAGAATGTATATGATAATTTTTAATTTAGGTTTTTCTGGGCTTTTTTTAATGCAATACTTTAACAATTGGTATATAATATGTTAGTGAATTAACATTTTAACCTTTTTGCTGCCTAATGTAACTTGTTGAATGGCATTTGAGTTCCACTTGGGGCTTAATTTGACTTTGATCTAGAGAAGTAGAAAAATCATTGGGTATTTGTATCTTTTTTTTTTTTTTTGGTCACTAAAATTATCGAATGTTGAAATGTGCATTAAGCTCACCTGTAATTCTCTGGAGGGCATTTTACTATTGCCCAAATAAGAGAGCTTTATGTGTGTAATTCCATACTAGGGTTTACCCCATATGAAGGAGAAACAATCGAGTCTGTAAGTGTTTGGTAATTATTTTCACTTCAGCAATATCATATTTTAAATTGTATAAATGTACAGGATGGTGTTCCTCATTTACCACCTGACTTGTCTGTCAAGGAAAATATACCAGTACCAGATACTGTACTGTACATTGTACCATATATTTAAGTAATATATAGTTTTATGAAATTGCTAGAAGTTGTGCTGTCTACTAATTTAAACACAGTATAGTACCTAAAATTTACACATACTGTACATACATAAAGTACTTTATCATTACCTTCCTTCTCACACGTGGAGTGTGGTGGCATCGGCCCAAAGAAGAGAATAAAGGTTACCGATTTTAAATAAAAAAAAAAATTAAATATTAGTTGTACACTCATTACATCATTCATAATACAGTACAGTATAGCACCAAGCATTAAAAAAAAGACATGAATACACTACAGCAGCAACCCAACACCCATTGAAAATGTATTTATTAACAGTAAATTAGGAACAATAATTAAATATTAAAAAATAATTGTGTTAAATTGGAAAGGCAAAATGTTATCAGATATATAAACCTTATGGTCATACATGGCATCTAAAGGGTTAACATACCATACCCTCTGTCCAACCCGTTGTCATCCAGCAAAAAATCTGCTATCTGAACTATAACAAATTACGTCTTCAGATAACATACAGCTCCGCTCTTCAAATTCCTACAAGTGTCAAACTTAAACACCTTCCATACATTCTCTTGTGTTGTTTACACTTATGAATCCGTAACAGTGAACATCACAATAAACAAATCTCTGACAGTCACAGTGGCCAACTCAATGCATATATGCCATGCAAATAAGAGATGAAATGTCAAAATTCTTAATTCATTCAAGAATGGCTTAATCTATACTTTATTCAAAAGTAAAGCAAAGAAGCACCTAATTTCCTTAACATAATGCTCCACCCAATTATTGTTGTTCTAGTTATTCAAATTGCATTATTAAATCACATTTGCCCAGAAATCTTATGCTAGTAATTCACCAAGTACTGTACTATCTCAACCCATCCTCCTAAAAATTATAGTATTTATGGCAGCTATTTTGCCAAACAGACCAATATGTACTGTTGGACCCAAAAAAGTTCACATTTTGTACTGTTAATTTTGGACGGCACAAAAAAAACTACAAACCGAACTTATGCATCCCTAGGCCTTGTATAATATAAATACTATATTAGGAGGATGGGCTAACTACAAACCTATCTAATTCATTAATATCATTTCTCATTAACATGTCCACTAATTTAATGTAATTGACACTACTGTACTTATACATATTAACTTTAAAGTCACTGCAATCACTAGTTTTGAGTACTTTGTTCAGATTGACTGTGCTCTTGTACTTTACAAATCACTGTATACCTTAGCTAATTTGTTTGCTTTAAGACTTATCCAAAACATTATTGAGTATTAGTGATTTTGGAAGAATGTTAACACCACCATTGTACTTTCTTTAATAATCAAAAACAACATATAAAAACCAAGGAGCAAAATTCTCCAGCTATCAGAATACTGTGAACTTCTAAAATACTGTAATATGTTAGTGCACTTTTAAAATACTGTAATAATATGACTACTGTAGTGCAGAAAAATAGTTATTGTTACTATAAACAATATTCCACAATGCAAAATTTCCAGCTCTTGTTGACCTGTTAAAATAGATAATACATACTGTACTTTGTATTGTACAGTATATTGTTTTAAGCACTCTACAAAAAGACGTTTGTGAATATGTATCAAAGTATTTACTTTGATGTACTGTATATATCAGAGTACACCAACAAAGCCTCAACACTTGGATATTTATAATTGATTTGGAGTCCTTACTATACAATGGCTGACCCACATTATGCAGTGTATGAAGGTAGTGATACAGCATCAACTCAAAGATATTTTGTTATTTCATGAACATTTGCTGTGAAACCATACACACTGTTATGAAGCCAGACAGTCAAATACTCATGGGAGATGTTTTCCACATTAACAGAAAAATGTCTACTGAAATTCCGCTGGAGTCTGCTCCTCTGCCATATCAGCTGTAAGAAAATAAAAAAATACCATAACTTTTGTCTTAAAGGTTTAATTTTTTTTACTTATTACAGTATTTGTTAAATTTCAAACTGCAACATCTGGCTAATACTGCTGTACATACTGTATATAGTCAGTAACTACAAGACTTATAGTAATGGAATCTCATAATGGTTGAGTATATATCCTTTTTTCATATAGAGGCATATCTGTAACTTAAAATATGAGTTAGGATGCTTGACACTAAATGGAATTGTAAAATTTTGATGCTTCATACAGGTGATGTAGGATATTGAATGGAATTACTGAATGGCAGAAGGTTACCATTTATCATACTAGTCTAGCAGTACTGTATAAGGGTCCTGAGTGTGATTCCTGCTGCAGGGGTAGTGTTTACAAATATCCAGTTAAATGAGGGAGATATATTGCTCTGTCACACCCAGTCTCTGGAAGCAAATGTGCCGACAAACGCTCTTTAAAGTAGACTGTGGTGAGAGACTACACAAAGATAGGGAGCCAGTCGGCCGAGCGGACAGCACACTGGATTTGTGATCCTATGGTCCCGGGTTCGATCCTGGGCGCCGGTGAGAAACAATGGGCAGAGTTTTTTCATCCTATGCCCCTGTTACCTAGCAGTAAAATAGGTACCTGGGTGTTAGTCAGCTGTCACAAGCTGCTTCCTGGGGGTGGAGGCCTGGTCGAGGACCAGGCTGCGAGAACACTAAAGCCCCGAAATCATCTCGAAATAACCTCAAGATACAGATGAGAGGAGTGAAAGCTTTGAGATTATGCAGGGTGTCTTTGCTTGTATTTACCTAGTTGTGCTTGTGGGGGTTGAGCTCTGCTCTCTCGGCCCACCTCTCAACTGTCAATCAATCAACTATTTTTTTTCACCCCCCCCCCCAGGAAGCAGCCCATAGCAGCGGTCTAACTCCCAGGTAGTACCTATTTACTGCTAGGTAACAGGAGCATCAGGGTGAAAGAAACTATGCCCATTTGTTTCTGCCATCGCTGAGAATCGATCCCCAGTCCCTCGGTCCACGAGTCTAGAGCGCTGTCCACTCGGCCTCCAGGTCCCCTCCACTCAACCACCAGGACTCCTTGTGTTGATGTCACCATTCCTTGTTGCTGCTTACACATTTTTCCTTTATCATTTTATATATGTTCCAAGATGGTTACATTCTATGTGCTGCTCAAAGTTCTCTCAGGCTCTGGAGTTTTTCTCTTTTCATCCTGTGATGATTGAAATTTAGGGTTTCCAGTCATATTGTTGACTAATGACTTACAGATACCACTGCAAAAGAAACCCTTCATATCTGTCTCATTTTCCAGAAACAAATTTCTTACTCATATGTCTACCCTGCCATTCATAACTTGATCCACAATGTTGGACAAATAGATGGTTAGCTACTTAGAATAACAAATTGTGTACTATCAAATGTGACCTATCCTTGTCACCTTTATCCTATCACTGGAATAAGAAGTGGGATACATCTCTGGCATGGTTACAAATTAGCCACACTAGAGTATCTTGTGGGCACTTAATAAAACAGAGACCTTGCTGTCAAAACTGCATTGCTCTGCTTAGTCACTCGCCTCATTGAATGTACAGTACTGATTTTCAGGATGATCAAAAGTTTTGATTTCCTATCATTCTTTTGACTAATATGTCCATTGCTAAAATCCCCAGTGAATCTGATTCCTTGACATTGCTCATCTGTATAGTTCTATTCTCTTATTGGAGTCCTAAATGATCTCAAAGACCTCTTGAATATTTCATACCACAGACAGTAATTGGAAAATAAATTAAAATCTTAAATTACAAACTATATTGTGTGACATCATCAGGATGCAGCATTTTTATGTCATTTCTGCTATACATATTCTAGGTATTCTGCCCTAGTTCTCATATTATAAATAGCGTATGAGTATATACAGCACAAGTACGTACTTTAGAATCAAATTTCACATTAACAAGTCTCATTTGCATTTAATTTAATCCCTAAGAAAACAATTTAACTGTATTTGCAATTTTGATGCACATAAAAGAACAATCATAATAATCTTCATCTAACACTTTTGTATTGCCCAAGTCAAGTATTTGTTCATATTTATAAGCAGTAGGAAGAATTTGCAAAGAAAATCCATCTTCACAATATTCATCTTAGGCTGAATAAGGCACTAAAGCATTTTAAGGGCAACATTTAACAACACTGGCATATTGATACATACCTGCATATTATTCATGTCTTGATGCAAAAACTTTCTTCCCTAATGTTTTTTATATTACTGTACTTTGTTTATTGTCATAATGAGTGTTAAAAAAAAGACATGTATCATTTTGTTAGGATTAATGTATTTAAAAAAAGGCTGTGAGCTTAACAGGAAGCATTAACCTGTTATCATTGTTGCCCATGCTTTTATGTCTGAATCCAACTTGCTGTCATGCTCTACTTTCAGCCACTGCCCACCTGTGTTTGCATCTTAGTCATCTCATGGCACCCATAAAAGGACAGTAAAAACTGTGCCATTCACTTGGAAAAAGTCTTCTGTATCTGCTTCCCACACAACAGTAACTTGAAACATTACATTATGAAATTACTTATACTTTACCTGATGATTTCCCGAGAATTTTACTCAGAACAGCCTGGAGCCAGGCTTTCTTGGTAACTGCCTGCTCTGTGAGGCTGTTTTGTCTTCATAGTTCGCACATTGACATACCCACCACAAGGTGGGTATGTCACTTGGCTGATCAAGTAACTCCATCAGAACCTATCAAGTACCTTCTTGAAAACTTACACCATTGTTCCAGGTATATTTCATGTACTTGCTGACAGGAGGTTGAAGAGTCTTGCTGGTAGTCCACAAGTACTGATGGGTGTCAAGCTACCAGAAGCAACATCAAGGCCTGCCCCCTTAGATTTGATGAACACTATCAGGTGTGTGCATAGTTTGTTGGGATTGTCAATGTTTTCTATGCAGTTGCTTATTTTGGAGTGCCCTTCCTTTCTTGTGTTTGTGTTTCCTCTTGGTCTGGGTTAATCTAGTATTTCCAGACTCTCTTGCTTCTTTTGAGTGGACCAGATTTTGCAGGTCTCTGGTAGGCACTTATAACTTACAGGAGGCCTGGTGGGGCAGACAATCTTCGAGCTAGCAGGCTGGGTAGTTTGAGGATCCACTGAGGGGAGCAAGTTTTAACACCCATTACTAATTTGTTGAGCTTGTTCTACATTTCTCCGTTTCTTTTCAACCACAAGAATTTTCTATCATTTGCATACATTTTTGCCGTAGTTTATATTGGTGCCATTTCTTCACATTACCTGCATCATTTAGAAAGCTTTGTCAATTTTTCTCATATCCTTTCAAAATTTTAAATGTTGTGATCGTTGCCTGTTTCCTGTTTTCTTGCCTTGGCATTTATGGTTCATTAATCATTCTTATTTTTTCAGTTTATTCCTTTTCTTTCAGATCCTCTTTATAGTTTACCTCGGTGAAATACTGTATTCTCAATTTTCAAAATCTACCTTTTCCAAAGAACAACTTTTTTATTTTTCCTTTCTTTGTTTAGTTTTCCAAAACTTATGAATTTTATTTCTTGGAAGTGTATTGTGCTCTTTTTCCATACTGGAGTCAATTTGTTTTATATAAAATCTCTTCTCATGAAAAGTAAGTCTAATATAGATGGGTTGTTACCTCTCATCCTCATAAGATTATGATGATGTTGATGCATGATACATAATTGGCTTCACTATTTGGTTTAGTGCCCTGTTATCATGCTCTTTCTCTGGATCATACAATTCTGTTTATCGAGTTTTTTGTTTAATCAATCTTTCCATTATCATTATACTTTACCTGCCTTAAATTCAACCTTCATGATGATCAATAAACCTACTTTTCTGGGGGAAGCCCCCAGATCTCACCCAGAAAATGGTGTTTTATTACATTTAACGCTGTTTTTTTTTTTTTTTTTTTGTAGCTCTTCTCGAGGGATCATTTGATGGTATTTTAACTACAAATTTCAACCTTACATTATGTGCATTTTGTACTGTTACCGCCTTCGTGCACAGATGTTCTTCTATTAATACTGCTGCCCACTTATACTCAAAAGTAATGAAACTGAAGAATGTAATATCACATCTATATATTTTGTAAATATAGTACTGTACAGTATATTCAATTAGAAATTCTATATCTGGCTAGCGTGTCATTTTCATTAATTGTTTCTTTCCAAATCCTTCAGATCAATAGAAAAATTCATGTACCATTTGACTGGGTCTTTCGTATTACAATCTTATACAAAAATTCCTCTTCAAATTTCTACTTTCATTCTATCCTTCAACTTTCTCCTACTTTTTCAATCTCTTGAAATGGAGTATTATTACCATAATTTGTTGGCATTCTGCAACATCTCCATTTGTATTGTGCTCATCAGTACCATCAGTGATCTACTTTTCCTAGTTTTATATCTACCATTTCTCTATTACATTTTTTGTACATATGTAATATTGTTTATTATCTAAGCAATATTTATTACCTTAGTGATGATCCCATCTTATTTTTTGTCACTATCTATTCAAGATAATATAGTATATCTATCCCTTAATTAAAGCTAAAAACAAATTTATATATTCTAGGCCTAGTATAGCACATTTACTAGTCCTGAATATTGTTTATTATCAATATTTGCTTCCTATATTAGGCCTCAGATAGCATGCATTAGGCCTATTAAAATCTACATATGATGAATGACTTGCTACTGTCTACTGCATTGTTAGCTATTTTACAATTGCACACAATTCCTTTCTGACATTCAGCATTGATACAAAGTTTTATTCAACTTCATATTTTTTCCGTCATTTGCTAATTTCACAACTATCTTTTTTTTCTGGCCATTATTATCAAAGTTTACTTTGCTCATTTAAATTTTTTGCCTATTTTGTCTTCCAGTACTTGCCTAAGTTGCACTTTCATACATGGTTTCCATTTACACCTGTACTTTGTTAAGGAT